TCATGGGTCTGATTGATGTGCTGACGCAGTATGATGCCAAGAAGAAAGCCGCTCACGCTGCCAGGGCTGTCAAGCACGGGGTGAGAGAGCGTTGCTCTTAAAAGCGACTGCTTAGCGTGGGGACGCAACACGTCTCCGGCGTGAAGGGTGGCTTTCATCCTCTGCTTCCTTGTTTTTCAGTCAGCCGTGCTTCTCTTTGTGCTTTGCAGGCGGGAGCTGAAATCACAACGGTTCATCCCGAGCAGTACGCCAAACGCTTCAAGGAGTTCATCGCGAAGATCTTTGCCTAGTTCAAGGATTGATCGTCTTTTGATGCCAAGCATAGCTGCACAACACCCACAAGAAACACTAAATATTTAAAGATTAAAAAATATATATAAATATGCAGAAGTATTTATGTTTATTAAACTTATTTAAAAATGTGCTCATATCAATCTGGAGCATAGTTCTGGCCTCAGACGTGCCAAACTCTTCCTATTTTCAGATGATGGACTGCACAGTCTCTCTGAAGGCTTATTTTACGCTGAGCTTCTTCAACGAGGTTTAATCTTTCAGGCAAAGGCAGCCGGAGGCAATTAACAATTTGGCTATCCTAAATGGACTTTTATTAAAAGGCAAAGCAAATCCAACCTGCTGGAGAGGAAACTCCTGAATCCAGCAGTTTGCACTTACCTAAAGCAGAAACGACACGACTTTGAAGACCAAGATGTCTGTGTTTTGGACAGAGAAGACGGGTCGTTTTAAACAGGTCGACGTGACCAGCATTTCACTCTCCCTCACAGGGAGGGAGGAAAATTATTTTCTCTGGTTGCATCCAGGGAGTAAAACCTGTTGGTCATGTGACCTCTCCTAACAAAGTCCTGTGACTTACTTTTCTGTGTTAAATGTCAGAGATATTTCTGGTTTGCACTCATTGCAAGCTGAGAGAGATGCTGGATTTAAAAAAAAAAAAAAAAAAGAAGAAGAAGAAACATTTTGTGCCTTTTTTGAAGTTTTTTTTTTAAATGTCCAGCGTTTACAGGTTAAACCTTTGTGAGTTCTGCGGGATGTTCGGAAGTTGAGATATGGATTTAAAACCTGACCCTGCTTTGGTTGATAATGTTCCACAAACCTCTGAGGCCTTTGTTGAATGAAATGGATTTATTCTGAGATTAAATGACGTACAATGAGATTCTGTTTATTTCTGAAACCATTGGATTTATTCAGAGGTTTCTGATTAAACATGGCTCAATGTTTGTTTTTGAGCCGTCTTTCTTTTTCATTCATGCAACTATGAACTACTTTGAGTTGGTCAGTCACATGAAATCTGAACAAGCAGGTTTAGATTATGGATGTAGCAATACAGTATGTCATGTGCTAATTTTGAGCCTTCATCATTTTACCAACGACTTAACGGTGATGTTTGCATTCTCAGTTGGTCGTCGGGGTCTGAAACAAAAACAGAAATACATACTTTACTCCACTATGAAGTTTGACATTTCCTATGACATTTTTCACTTTACACAAAATGTTCTCTTGATTTTATAGCCTTTTTTTTAACCCTATTTGCCTAAAAGTCAGCCAACGATGAAAAGAAAATGTTTGTTTTTTTCTTCATTTGAAAATACAGAATGAAATTGTATGGCAAGACGTAAGTGACAACAAAAATGGTTAACTTGGGTTTTATCATATTTATCCCAGCTGTGCCTTGCATTTTAATCCCCTCTTATCACCTGCAGCTTTACACTGAAAAGGCTCCTGACTCTATTTTGTTTATAGATTTTTAACATCTTGAATCTCAGGAAAATATGAAAGAGTTTTAATAAAAGAAACTCAAAGTAAATCTCTTTGGGAGCAAAAATCTGCATCCTTAGACTTTATTTTAGAAAACCTTCAGTGAATAAAAATGTTAATAAATGTGTCACAGTTCGGCCGATAACTGACACATACAGTCTTCGTGTTTTGTTTTTTTTCTTTACATCTTACCATTAAAGGGGTTTTTAATAGAGCAGGTGTTCCTCTTCTTATTAGCATTGACAATAACGTAAATTGAGGCAAATTCAGTGATGTGACAAATTCATTTGTTTCTCCATTTTCAGCTCCACTTTGTGGGAATATCGGCATTGGTTGTGATATGAAAAGACTCCATTATGAACATGATAAAATGTTCTGACTGACCTCTTCGACACAACTAATTAAAATGTTTCAGCTTTTCCTGTTAAAAGCTAATTAAAATTGCAAATGAGGCGAGAAAAACAGGCTGTGTTATTTCTGTCCTTAATTCATTTCACCTCGCCAGTTGGCTACATTTTGCCAGGCGTTTCATTATTGCACTTTTCAGTAATATAATGAAAGCGTGGCTCGGCGTTCAGGCAGCGCGCTGCCACGTTTGTAACACCAAGTCACAACCAGACACTCGAGCTTCTTTTATTGGGATTTTATGTAATAAAACACAAGCAACACATGATTTTAAAGAGAAAAATAAAGTGTAGAAATAAAAGCTGAAAAGTGTAGTTTGTGTGTTTGTATTCAGCTTTTCTGCGTCACAACCTTTTGCTGCAAGGACATCCGGCAATCTGTCTGTGATACATTGTTTTACAAACAAAAATAACTAATAAAATCACCCAAGAAAACCAGAGAATGTTTTCAGTGTTTGTCTTTCAGGTGTACATAGTATTTTGAATTAAGAAAAATAATCAGTTTTGGTCATAAATCTATTATGTCTTCTGGCTTTATTTCAACAGAGGTATTTTTCTTATCACTCTCCTATAAAGCTGTATAAAACAAATATTAAGTCCTACCAACAGATTTTTTACTACTGATCAGTGGTTGTGCTCTAACCAAATACAGGGAAGCCATTGTTCTTGATTTTAAATAGGGACATCAGAGAACTTTATAAAAAAAAAAAAAAAGAAAAGGAAGAAAAAAGTAAAATTCATGAGTTATTATTCTTCCACTTTATGCTGGACCTTCATATAAAAACCGTAATAAAACACACTGATACTTGTATCATGTCAAAAAATTTATTTTTTCTGTTGGAGGAAATATCTGCATCCAGTGGCTTTTAATGCACAAACCCAACTGCTAAACATTGGGGGTTTTTTTAGCTTAGATTTATACACAATTAGTTACTACATTTATTACTTGACCACATGATGTTAAGATGCACTAGAAGTGACTCAAATTTCTAGTTGTCCCTTTGAAACTGAATCTCTGTGATGAAGCATTCATTCTTTTGTCTTTATTTAGGCCCTCTCGCATCCCAGAGCTCCTGGCACACATCCTGATGCTCCTGCTTCACATGGACAATTCAAAACACAGAAAGGACATGAAGGTTAAGAACAAGTGGCTTGAATTTTTCAATTTCTGCCTTAGCTACACGTCCCAAAGCTGCAGCAACAAGCTCTGAAAGCCTACGCACATCCAATTTTCTCCCCCCACGTAAATGGATTCAAACCACTGAAAAATTAAAACTCTGTAGCCTCAGCAGCTCGGTATTGTTCAGCGATCCGACATTCTTCAAGGACACACTTTTTAATTGGTTATAAACCCATCAGTTCTGACCTCAGTGTTGATGATTCACTTTTCTTTGCACATTTTCTTTGTTCCTTTTGAATGTGGGAGTGCTTTGAGGCAAACAACCTTGAGAGATCTTGATTCAATGAGCTCGTGCACAAAATAACCAAAAAGAAGCTCAGAACAAACGAGGTGTTTTATGCCCACACCTCCATCATCCGTCTCATTTATCCATCAGATATAAAGAAAGGCATTTCCACTTGAATTTTAAGAAATCAAGCTTAAAGTCAAGATTCCTGGCCGTCTTTACTCAAGTGTGCAGAACTTGAGTAAATTTACTGTATAAGAGAAAGTAATGCTGGCTGCACACAGGTTGGTTAAAGAGTTAAACACCATGCATCATGATGAACATTAATGCATGTTGGCGTAAAAGCTGAAGGTGATTGGCTATTAGAGTCTAAATACTGGAGTGCTTTTCCAGAATATTAACTAAACTTGCAGAGGAAACTATAGGCTCATCAATCATAGTTAAATATTTGTTTAAAATCATAATAAAACACGAACTTACAAACTAGCAGGACGACACACAGAGCAGGAACAGACAGAGACTAGTTAATGGGGTTAAACAGGATATAACAGGAGGATCCAGCAAGGAGTGACCAAAGGAGAGGTGGTAAAATACTGGCAGTTTTAAATGCTGGGACAATGGACCAGTGCTAACTGGAAAACAAGGTGCAGGTGTGAGAGGAGAGCAAAGTGCAAGGTGAGGAGAGAAACAGAGAGAGAAATGGCAGAGGAGAGCAAAAAAAAAAATCTAGCCAAATCTAGCTGTGACAAAAGCTATTATAAGTAATAAACATAATCTAACTAAACTAAGAGTAAAACAGAACCAACTGATGCAATCAAAGAACGAACATCTAAGGCAAACGCAGATGGCAAATAAAAACAAAAAACAAAATCCTGACAGAAACATGGTGGTGGCAGCGTCATGGTGTGGGGGTGCAGGGAAGCTTATCAGATTTGATGCCAAGGAGAAAAACCTGCAAAACGCAGCAGAAAGACTCGAGACTGGAGACAATGACCCGAAACAACATGGCTTGCAGCTGCAAGTACACTGAAAGGCAGTTCTATAAAATACTGACGTTCAGGGACCGGTGCGCATCCTTTTCGATTGCACTGGACCAGCAGCTTCCAGGATAAGCAGGCTCAGATGACGGACGCATCCTTTTCCTTCCATGTCACACGTAAGCGCTAGTTTTGTGTTACATCAGACGAAATACGCCGAGGTTTGTTGAAGGGGTGTGAATACTTTGGACACATGGCTGCGACCTAGAAAGAAGTAGGTCGGCGGCCAGCAGAGACTCAGTGCGTCTCCAGGACGTGTTCAAACGTTGGTGGAACATGAATTAATGAAGGAATGAGTCCATGTAATACAAATGTCCTCCCAACCGTTGAAGTGTGAGTTCAGTTTATTTAGTGGCAGAAAACGTCAGAGAGCGACCGTTTCGATAATGAATGCTTCTGATTTATTAAATGGGTAAAAAAAAAAAAAAAAAAAACATGAAAAGAGAACAGTGTACATTACAGAAAAGATCAGCTTTTGGTCACATCGAAAGTACTCCCAGTACTGCATCAGAGTTGATAATTATATAATAATATAGATTTGTTTCCTCTGTTGTGTCTGTTTTCAGCCACTTAGAAACTTCACTTGAAGGCCTTGTTTTGTACATTTGTAAGCTCTTAATATTTAAAGTATACCTTTAATTTCTAGTCGTCACATCAGGAACAATATTAGTTGAAAATTTGATCCTCTAAAAAAAAAAAAAAACACGTCAGCATTAGTGTTTATCTACATTCAGTCAAAAATCAAGTCATTTTAACCTACTTATGTAAAGTGATGGGAAAAAGTATTTACGTCTTTACAGATTTCTTCTGTTTTTGCTTTTTAGTCACACTTAAAATTTTCCACAGACAAAGGCAAAGATAACATGAGTAAACAGAAAAAAAAAATGTTTTCAAATTATTATTTCACTCCAGGGGAAAGAAAAGGTACCCAAACCGCAGTCTTTGGGAAGCTGAGCTGAACTTCACCGGCCTCACTTCGCTGCAGAAGCTCGTGGAAAACGCAAATCAGTTCAAAATGGCCCGCCTGACAACAGGAAGTAGGTGAAAAGATTTCAAAACGGAACGCATCACGAGCATCTATCAGTCTGTAAAGTGTCACAAAGCCTTGGGACTTCAGTGGACCATTTCTGCAAATGGAGAAAACAGGAAGGCGATGAATCGTCCCAGTAACCTACCAACGGTACGCCATCGAGGATTCATCCAGGAGCTAACAAAGAAATACATAAAAACTGATGCAAAGGAGGCTGGACAATGGACAAAGAGAAACTCACCGCTATCCCAAAACAACACAAATGATATTTGTCAAAAACATCCTAAACGTTCCCAAAGAATCTTGGGAAAACATTTGGCGGGACGAAGGTGGAACTGTCTGAAGGTCCGGTTACAGCTGGCGTGAAACTGTCAACATTTCAGAAAAAGAATATTAGACCTACAGGCAAACGTGGTGGTGGTGGTGGTGGTAGTGTGATGGTTTGGGCTGCTTTTCTGCTTCAGGATCTGGATAATTTGCTGTAGTTGATGGAAAAACGAAGGTTTCTGTCTACCATAAAAGAAGAACGTCGGGCCATCAGTCTTTCACTTTAAGTTAAAAACATTTTGCAGCCGAACAACAATCCCCAGCTCACTAGCAACTTCTCCTCTGAATGACTCAAAATTTTCCTTTTGGAGTGCCCTAGTCAAAGTCTGGACCTAAATCCAAATAATTTGCTTGGAAAACCTCCAGTGTGGCTGAACTAAAAATGATTCTGCCACACAAGAGAGGGCAAACTTTCTCCACAACGATGTGGAAAAACTCACATCCAGTTAGTCTGAAAAGGAAATTCGTTTGATGATGTGAAGCGTTTAAGTGTGACAAAAAAAGAAAATAACAGAACAAATCTATAAGAGGATGGAAACCTTTTCACAGCACTGCGCATGTATCTTAATACTCACTTGAACAATGAGCTACTGGGGTATGTACAGTGTTTCACATCAGACACACCAGTAACAGACAAAACATAAAAAAATCTGAGTTAAGCAGGAAACTAAAGCTGAACTAAAACTCTGTACAGTTAATCTCTGAACAGCAATGAGTAACCCTTTATGTTTTATACACAGAAACAACTGTACAAATCATACAGTAATAAACTGGAAATTAAACACTTTTAAATTCGTAGTATTTTATCAACACATTTCTATACAGCTGTTTTATTCCCCTTTATCCAGCCACTAACATATTTCACATCAACTTACACGTAACATAATTTATGCACTTAATGACAAGCTCCGATGAATCTAAAACTCACATTCACTGTCAAAATTAATAATAGCCATAATCTTTTATGCTACGAGCTCGATACATCCCACTCTTTAGATTAGTAAACTTATTGCAGTTCTTTTACTTCTGGGCTTCAGCTGCTCAGAGAAGCTGTTTGAGGCCTGCAGGCGGGTTTCCATTCATAGCCGAGTGGAGAACAAAGTCGAGTACTGACTGCGTGGTCAGGATGCGACTCTGGTAAACAGGTCGGTACATTCTACTTACATCTGAATGCACAGACATGTGGCCAAAAACAGAAAGAAAGACAGAACAAAATAAATCAGTCCAGCACAGTGTGTTCTCCAGTTTTCATCCCTGAAACACACACACACACGCACACACACGCACGCACACCTCCGAGCGTCTCACCTGACTCCAGGTGAGACGGGATCTGTCAGCATGTCCGTGCGGATGGACAGGACTCGCTATGACGGCAAAGCGGCAACACATTCACACACTCACTTTGAAACGCGCTGCAGTTACGACACGGCTCTTCTGGACGTGCTGTAGCCCAGGTTGCCGCCGCCGCCGCCGCCGCTGCTCTTCTGCGTGATTCTGATCGTCGTGGCAACCGTCAGGCTCGGCGTCATGGCGGCGGGGAAGCTGGACGTCACGGCCGACGCGAAGCCGACCGTGGCGCCGAGGGCGGGGGCCGGCTCGCTGGGGCAGCCATGCTGCAGCAGGACGTCGATGCACTCCTGGCCGCCGGCGCCCTGAGCCAGAGCCAGCGCCGTCTGACCCTGAGCGTCCCGATGCCGCACGTCGCAGCCGTACTGCAGGGCGCAAACGGAGACAGTAGGTTAAAGTGGGACGGCTTACGTCTGACCAACACGACCTTACGGAAATAATGGCATCTCTGAAATCTCTGATTCTATGCGACAGATCAACACAAAGTAATTGCAAAGTAAAGGGAAAATGTGTTGTCAAAAATATTTACATGTGAAAGTCGGATGCTGCGCGCATCTGTGTTTACACCCTTTATTCTTACAACTTTAAATAAAACTCAATAAAAACTTTTTTTTTTCTTTTTGCTTTGCTATGGAGTGCTTTTCTGTAGCGGGGATGGAGAATCTGTGCAGAGTTGATGGGAAGATAAATGGAGAAAAATAGCCAGATATACTTTAAGAAAACGTCTCAGAAGCTGCAACAAACTTCAGGCTGGAGAGATTTGGCTTCCAGCAGAACAAGGACCCCAAAATTCACAGAGAAAGCTAAAATTAAAAGTTTTAATTCAAATATTTATGTGAGCAGTCTAGTTAAGGATGAGCTATTATGCTTCGTTGAACAGGTTTGGATATATGGGCTCTGCAAAAGATGGTCATTATAGTTTTTGCACAAAATCATTCTTAGATAATGAGATTTTGCCTATTTTGAGCTCCTCTCAGAACGAACTGTTTTAGGGCTTTTTGTCGCTTTAAATCCAAATAAGCTGCAGCTGGCCACGCCCCCAACTCAATATTTTCCTGAAAATGTCTGCAAACAGACGCACAATTATACAGCCGTACGTCTTTGAAAAGAATAAGTAGAGCTTCCTGCACAACCAACAAGAATGCAGCAAGTAATTTCTCTGCTTGGGTTACTAGGTAACATCACAGAGTCCGTCGATTGTGACTTAACAATCGGGAGGTTTTTGAAATGACTCATTCTCCAGACACCAAAAAACAATAACTTATTACAAGGAAATGGCCGGGCATTGTTTTTCAAACACTTGGATTGTTTTTAGAAGCAGTCGAGATCCAAGTCGAAGCATAAAAAATGTGCAAAATGCGACTTTTGCAGAATAGGTCCCCTGTAAATTTGAGGCCTATAGCCAACTGAGAATCTGTTACAAGATTTTATAAAAGAATGGGCATGAATTTCAGGCTCGAGATGTGCAAATCAGGTAGAGATACACCCTAAAAAAAACTCTCAGGCTTAACTAAAGCTAAAAGGTATTGAATGCTTTCTGATCTTTATCTGTATAAACATAAAAAGAAACATATCAGTTTACTTTCACTTCACAAATATGTGTTCATCATAAAAGAGAAATAAATAAACTTCACGTTTATGTTTTTAATGCGGTCCATAGGCGTATGAATACCTATTGCCGGTATTTTAAGTCAGACTTGTCAAAATAACAGCAGGACGACTAGAGGGGAAAGTGTAACACACCCAGACCAGAAGCTGCGTCATCACCACATCAGCCTGCTGACAAGCAGCATGCAGGGCAGAGCCAGGCAGGCGGAGCGCGAGCAGCGACCTGGAGGGGAGCGACAGGAAGGGCGGGGCGTTGATGTCCTCCTTAGTGCAGTGGGCCAAGAGAAGCAGCAGCTTGGGCAGATTGCGCTCCATCACTGCCAACAGAAGGCGGCCCGACATGCTGATGTCTGGGCCCTCGCTGGGTGTGGGAGGAGGCAACGGCGCCACAAACAGTTTCTGCTCATACTTGGCTCGGATCCACGACTCCCGCTCTTCTCTGAGAAGAAGAAAAAGAAAAAACAGGAGAAAGAGGTTAGTTGGTAGAAATGTTTTGCAAGTATTCAAGCAGTCGCTGATCTACCGTGTAGCGTCGGGCGCCGGCTTCCGGTGCCCTATCGTACGCGCCTCCCAGATGCTGTTGACCATGTGGTTGCCGATGGCGCTGAGGACCAGGGTGAGCTCTCTGGGCAGGTCGTCGAGGGCCAGCGAGCGGACCCGGGACAAGTGGGTGCCCAAGTTCCTGTGGATCCCAGAGCACTCGATGCAAATGAGAGCGCCCAGGTTCAGGCTGGCCCACGTCGGATCTTCAGCAGGGACGAGACACAAACAGCGAGTCAAACACCAGCTGAAGTAAAGATTTGAAGCGCTAGTATTTGAGTGACGCATGAATATTTCATACGGGAGTAAATTATAAAGACGGAGAGAAACCGGAGAAGTTTTGCTTACATTTTCTTTTCTTTTGCATCCTTCTGCATAAATTAGATTTTAATCAGTTCAGCGCATCTTTCATAACAAACACAACCGATTTGGCTAATAATCAGAAATAATGTGTTTTTTTTCTTCTCTTTTGTTAAATTGGGTCATTTTAATGAACTGAATAAGAACTGAAGTCAGATCATGTCAGCAGGATTCATTTGCTGGCCTTGAAACAAGAGGAACAGAGCAAAAAAGTGGGGGAAAAAAAGTCATTTTAAAGCATGAAAAAGGATTTTAGAAAATAAAAAGAAACGTGTTGAATACTTGTGATGCGTTCACTTGCTCGGTTGTTTTCTGGCTTCCAATGTTAACCTCATAGTTACAGATTATAGTTACATTATAAAGCACATGATATCTTATTGCTACATCTAGGGAACCCATACGGGGGTTTAGTCAGGGTGGATTAACGTTGTCACAATGGGACCCATCTGGGTTGAACCTGAAGGTTCTGTAAGTCTCAACTGAGTCTCATTTGGATCATAATTTCAAACTTTGTGTCACAAAGTTTTCAAAATATACCCTTCATCACATCTATACAGGAAATTCACACAGGGCCGAGATGTGACCCAAAGGCGTTCCCATCTGTTCACAGTCGTGACGTCCATTTCCAACCCACGCTTAAATGTTGGCACCACTGAAGTAAAAGAATATAAGCATTTGGAGCTTTCTGTTAACTTTTGGTATCTAGAAATAAATCATTTACAAATTATTTATTCGTCCCCAAAACATAAATAAGAGGTTCATGATTATCTGTACAGTAGAACAGCACAGTGTCTCTAAAGGGAAAAGCAGAAAAGGAGCGATTATTACTAACTTGGAGCGTCACAGTCGACGCAGAAGTTGTTCCCTTTTGCGTTGCGGATGGCCTGCAGTGCCACGGCTTCACTTTGGCTGTTCTTGCGATCCTGCAGGAAACAAAGAGCAAACGGTGAGGAGAAAGTAACAATCAGCACGCCTCTTTGGTTTGAGATTGTTCCTAGTTTTAATGGCTTTACATGTTCTCAGTCTGAAATATTGGTTTGATAAGCTTCCTTCAGGTCATCATGATTTGCTGTTATTTACCTTCCAAGCTTTTTGTTCTGTTACTTTGAGATCCTCATTAATTTTACTATAACTCCTTATCTTTCTATTTATCTTCTGTCCTGTGGCATATTACGTCTCAGTATTCTTCATTACAGAAAGCTGTGGTTAAGGGAGTGTTTCCTTGGTTTCCAGAGCCATTTATACGTGTGTGAGTGTATGTGGATTGCTTTAATGTGTGTGGGTGTTCAGGAGGTGGAGGGAGACTCTTTGGTTTCTGCTGTAAACTGACAGATTCTTCTAGAAATAAAAAGTACGAAATAGATAAAGATCAACTGATTTCATATGTTCTTTAGAGATGCTTTCCTATCATGTCAAACTACCTAAACACACACTCAGTCCTCTACCACGCATGTATTCTGCCATAGTTTTCTCTACATGTCAAATAAAGGTTTCATCAGCCCTCTGTGCGGTGATATTCATGTCATATATGAGCTGCTTGCCTTGTTCTTGCTGCTCTCACACAGCTGCAGGCTGGCCAGGATCTGGCTCTCGATGGCTTGGACCCAGGAGTCCCTCTCCTCCACACTCTGGGCCTCAAAGTGCCACGTCTGACCAGTGCTCGACACAACCAGGAAGTCAAAGTTGTCCTCCTCTGAGTCAGACACAGGCAACTTTTGAGTTCATATAATGGAGTTTATCCGAAATGATACTTTTTGGCTACGTGCAAAACATTATGTGTGGAGGATAAAAGAATAACAGCTAACACTTTATTTGAAGGGGTGTGCATAAGACTTGACATGACACTGTCATAAACATGACACAACACCCGTTAGGAACATAAACGAGTCTTTATGAATGTTTATGACTGTTGTCATGAAGTGTCATTCAGTAAATAATGACAATTTAATGTAAAGTTGCTCTAAAAGTTGCATTGAAAGTCCATTAAAAATGCCAACTTTGCATTAAATTATCATAATTTACAAAATCATGCAAAGTTGGCATTTTTAATGGACGTTTAATGCAACTTTTAGAGCAACTTTGCATTAAAAGTGTCATTATTTATCGAATGACACTTCATGACAACAGTCATAAACATTCATAAAGACTCGTTTATGTTCCTAACGGGTGTTGTGTCATGTTTATGACAGTGTCATGTCAGTCTTATGCACACCCCTTCAAATAAAGTGTTACCGAATAACCTTAACCGTAACATATTATCCCCAAAGTGAAACACGGTGGTGCTGATTGTGGTTTTTTTTCAGCGAGGAAGACGTTTGGAGTTGACGAGAAGATAGACTGAGCTAAATAAAAGTCAACTAGGGAAGAAAATCTGAGATATTTTTACCCTGAAGCTGTTATAGCAGATGAAAAAATGAGAGCCAGCTGATGTTCGTAGTGCACCAACACTAACACTGTTCAGTATTTATAATGTTCCAAAGTTAGGAATAAACAAGTCACTTTTATCCGAACATTGTAGTTAAATATTCATACTCAAACATTCACATGAGGAGAAGCAACTAAACACTGGTGAGTAATTTAGTCACTCGTTAACAGAATTCAGATAAATTAAATATTTTTAGAAACATGTTGCTGGCTAGTCGATCATTACCTGTCTTGCTTACGTTTCTTGAGCTCCCAAAGCTTTTCAGCTTCCACATTTTCCGTTTAGCTGCAGAAAGCAAACAACAAAGTGAAAGCCAAAAATTCTTAGAATTTAAAATGCGTATTTAATTACAAGTCCTGACAAAACAGCGAGAGTAAAGAGACGTTAGAGTATGAATAATGCTCGCAAAAACGTCGTTCGACGCTTTCCTGTACCGTCGGCTTGTCCCGCGGCTGCGTCTCCTTTCTGATTCATGCTCTTCTTTCTGCGGTGCTTCTTCCTGTCGGTCAGCGGGGAGGCCGAGCCGACGTCTTTGGTGGAGGAGGAGCTGGAGACTCCCTCGACTGCAGAGTCTGGCCACAAGAGAGCAGAAACGGGACGTCAGGTGCCGCTTTTAAGACAAAATGTCCTGCAAAAAAAAAAACGGTCTTCTGGTGAGCTCACCAACGCCGTGGGCGTGATTGGACAGCGTGGACGGGCAGCGCTGGACGCCGATGTTGCTCCTCAGGAACAGAGCGCCTCCCAGTCCTTCCACCTCCTCCACTTGCATGAGGCCACTCGTATTTACTACACAATTAACAAATTACACTACATATAAATACGATACGCCTTTGTAATATAAATATGCTCGTACTAAACCGTGTGGGGTTTTAATGCTTTCTCTGTCAGTTCGTTATTGACAAAAAGGGAAATTCAGCAGCATTTATTAGCCTGTTATTTTCTATGCAATTTAACTACATGCAGCAACAAGGGTTCCTGCAAAGCAGCATGCTTTTTCTATCAAAAATGATGGCAGGGTGACGATTTGAGCTCGCTTTGAGTTCATAGAGCGAAACATCAAAACATCAGGCTGACAGCAGAAGCTGCTTTGAAGAAACTGGGTCAAGCGCCGAGACAATAACCTTAAGTAACGCAGCAACTCTGCAACGCAGAGTCATAAATCAAGCAGTTTAAAAGGTATGCATGCATGCTGGATTATTCTGGCTGCATGATTCTGTCTGAATGCCTTTTCTCAGAAATGGTGGAGCTCGTTTGGAGTGGATGTTCGCTTTGCACGAACTCTGCTTCTAAGCGTACCGCATAAATTTTCAATAGGGTTGAGGTTGGGATCGTTCTAGAAGTTTGATGCCGACCCACTTTATTCATGCCGACTACAGTTTTGATATGTGTTGGGGATAATTGTTCTTTAGTGGCACAAAACTCTGCCAAAGATTCAACCAGCTGGTTGATTTTTGATGAGGTGGAGTTTTGCACTGTATTTATCCTGTATTTAGTATTTCATATTTTAAGTATTTCGTATTTAATGTTGTCCTATATCTTTGTTTTGGTATTGTTTTTACTGTTTTATGATTTTAACAGCTTTGCTAACGTTTGTTGTTTACTGTAAACATGTAAAATGTTGCCTCACCGCTAGGATGTTATTGTAAATGAGAATTTGTTCTTAATAACTCACCTGGTTAAGCAATAAAAATCCTTATATGTAGAACTTAAAGACACACAGAGGGAGTATTTTTGCTACTATTTACTGCAGATGTTGACTCTAAGCAGTTCAAAGATGTTGCTTTAACATCAAAAATTGAATTTGCATGAATAAAAGCAGAAAACAAGTCGTCTTCTTGTTTTTCCATGGATGTTACTAGAAATAATGTGCTGCTGGATTGCAGCTGTG